CCCCAAAACCCCAAAACCCCAAAACCCCAATTCAACTTATACTTAATAAAATTCAATTCTGTAAAAAGCAGAGAGCTCTAAATTACAAAAATGTCACTTCAAAGCACCATAAACAACCCTAAAATTGCGTCTAAATTCATTAATGGTATTGAGCCTTCCTCCTCATCCTTCTATAGTTTCTTTTAACAACCAAATTTCTTTATTCAACCAAGATCTGAGCCCAATTAGACTAACGTAAGTATCATTTATTATTTTACATATCTCTCAACTCTAACATATCTCTTTAGAAAACCAAATAAAAAGAAGGCTAAGAGGTAAGGCTCTAGGTCATTCTGGGCCGGCTGACCCCAACGAAGGTATATCCTGGCTTACAGCCAGGATATTGTCATTGGGGTTACACTAGTTATCAACCTTATATGCATTCCTTGGTGGGGTTCAACTAATAAAATTAACTTCAGCTTTAACTCTATATTTCTATAATTCGAGAAGCTTAGACAAAACTCTAAAAGTTCAGAGACTGATTCATTTTATAGCAATGATATCCCAACCAGACCTCTTGAACCCAAAAAGAATAAAAAGAAGTTGTATATAGGTAAGTATCTACCTAGATTATCAATATTTCTCCGCTTGGTTGGCATGCCCAGAAAGGTGCATTTTCTATAAGAATTACTATTAAATTTGATCAGAGTGGACTGATAAAATTTTAGATGGTTACTAAACTATTTTTGATATTTTAAAAACATGTCTATAGAGAAATACAAAGGAGTAAATCCAATAAAATATTCGCACCTGGCCTTTAGAGATTTCAACTCGATAGTGAACAAGAAATTACTAAAGTTGCTAGGGGTTGACTATAACGCCGCTAAAGCACTCCCGGAGACACTAGAGAATGATCAATATGGGATATCTCCTTCAAAGATTCAGCATCATAATTCTGAAAGTCCTGTCAAAAGAAGAGTGAACAGTATAAGATCTTCTAGAAGGATGCTTTCCAAGATCAAGCATATGAAATCAAATTCTATCAATAACTCCCTCTACTCGACTGGGTCTGACAGTGAGACTTTTAGTTCTTTTAAGAACTCTGACATGCCGTCGTTCAGATATTCCTCTGAAATAAACCAGAAGAGAAGGTAATCTTAAGGTGCAAAAAGAGTCCTAACTTATATATAGCAAGAAGAGGATGACCTTCACCAGGTTCTTTGCTGGTGATAAGGGAGAGTCACCTAAAATAACTCTAAGGTGTAATAAGTACAAGTAGTTATAATTCAATAGACTAGGAAATGCGAGGGGTTTTGGGGTTTTGGGGTTTTGGGGTTTTGGGG